TGATGAACTGAAACTTTGTGGTTATAGTAGTCTATAACCATGCTAGGTGTTTTGTACTTTAGTTTAAATTGCCAGGTTTCCCATGATTCAGTCCATTCAAGTTTTGGCAATTCCAGGTGAACAAACATGCACGTATACACACAAGTCTTCTTTCAGATAGTATTAACAAGAATGTAGAGGATTTATTGCAGCATTCCTGCTTGATTGGTAAACAAGCTTGTTCAGGCTATAGTTTTGAATCCCATCCAACTTTTTTTGTTTACAGAAATGATGTCTCAGCTTCCACTTAGGCAGTAATTCAACATTATTTTCCTTCAGCTATTGTATAAAAATCACTGTGTTTTTACTTGTCTTCCTAAAATATAATACCCTGCTCTATATCCATTCTATATTGAATCAAGTGAGATTCATAAAACCTTTGACCAGGTGCTGACATTGATGGTCAATTCAGTAGGGTATAAACACGTACACACAAACACATCCTCCCCCCATCTTGTGATGGGCCTGGCCCATGAAGCATTTGAAACCACAGGTTCAGAAGGACTTGCAAAACCTTACTATTCCCTTCTTAATGCTTCTCTGATTGCACTGAGCCACTGTTAGCATGAGGAAAACTTGCTGTGTATCCACTGGTAGAGTACAAGCACCAGTTGAACTTGCATGTGCTGAGATACTGCAGAAGAGCTACATTGTGGTGTGACACCCTCTTCACTGACAGGGCCAGGCCATGCCTATCTCTTTCCCAGTCTAGGCTCAGAGATTTTCTTTCTGGAGAACTGGGACATAAGGAGAGAGAATGAAGAATATCTAGGTTTAACCATAGACAGAAGCCATGAGTCTGGAGTCTGTGAAATGCAGAAGTGGTCCCGAGTTAGAGAATCATAGCATCATAGAATCAGCTGGGTTAGAAGGGACCTCTGAGATCATCAAGTCCAACCCTTGATCCACTACTACTGTGGTAGACCATGGCACTAAGTTCTGACATTACTGCTGCTCTGTGTTGCCTGTTATAGCATCTACTAATAATTTGCCTGGATTTTAAAAGTAATAGTCCAGGAAAAGGCTGATATCTTGCTCTCAGAACATGAACTTGCCTCAGAGTGAAAAATGTGACATTCAGAAACACGGGTAAAGAAGGGTCACTAGACAACAATACCTCAGGGCTTATCTTAATATTTTAAACCTGTTATTTCTGGGAATTCTCTGAGAATTAGGCAGTGGTTGAGGAACTTAAACTATAGACGGAAGTACTGAGGGAGGTAATAGGGCAACTACCTCACTCTTAGTTAGTCCCAAAGGGCAGCCTCCCTCCCAGTCTACTGCGATAACTATGAGTACAGTGGAGATATGACCAGGTTACTAGAGACATCACTACACCTTAGGGAAATTTAGCTTGATTGTAACAAAAGTAATGTGATTATCTTAGAGTTGGGCTGCTACATGTGCAGGGAAGAACTAGATATATTTTAAACTAAAATAGTACAATGTTAAAGAAAAACATGACATTAAAAATCGACTTAAAAATAAATCTCTCAAAATTCCACCCTCTGAAATTTGTTAAAGAAAATTGAATTACTCTGAAGTCTGTATCCTGGTCATCCTGCAGTAAATTCAATGTTAGCAACAAAGACTGAAGCTGATCATCTGGTTCATTTTGCCCAGTGCCTTTCTGTACCAGACAAACATGTTCTATACAGCATTTAACGCAGAGATCAAGCATCACTTTGAAACTGACCACATAGATCTTACCTCTTGGTTCTGGAAAAAGGCTCTCCTGGAGCATTACTGCTTAGCAGCAGCTGTCACCTTCTAATTTCCAGTTTCCAGTCCTGAGGAGTTTACTTGCCTTTGTTCTTGAATCAAATGTATCCTCTTTGCTTATAGTAGCCATGTAATCTCTTCCACCATCTGCAGTCCTCCACAGAGACACACTGTTCCTTCTTGTAGCCCTTCTCTACACCTATTCCAGTTGGCTTCATCTGCATAAGAGTAGTTGACCCAAATTGTGCACAGTTGTGTTGGGTTTGCATGACCAGGTTTTGGTAGTGAGGAGCTACAGGAGGGCCTTCTGTGAGAGATTACCAGAAGCTTCCCTTGTCTCCAACACAGCCAATGCCAGCCTGCTCCAGGATGGACCCATCACTGGCCACGGCTGAGCCCATTAGTGACAGTGGTAGTGCCTCTGGGATAATGGATTTAAAAAGGAGGAGTAGGGGAGGGCAGGGAACTGCTGTGGAAACAGCAGCCAAAGAGAAGAGTGAGAACACGTGAGAGAAACAACCCTGCAGACACGAAGGTCAGTGAAAATGGAGCAGGAGGAGATTCTCTAGACACCAGAGTAGAGATTCCCCTGCAACACATGGAGGTCCATGGTGGAGCTATCTGCCTGCTGCCTCTAGAGAACCCCATGCCAGAGCAGGTGAGTGCCCAAAGGAGACTGTGACCCTGTGCGAAACCCATGCTGAAGAAGGCTTCTGGCAGGACCCATGGCCCAATAGAGAGAAGAGCCCATGCTGGAGCAGTTTTGCTGACAGGACTTGTGACACCATGCAGGACCACACTGGAGCAGTCTGTTCCTGAAGGACAGCACCTTATGGAAGAGACCCCACACTGGAGCAGGGGAAGAGTGTGAGGAGTCCTTCCCCTGAGAAGGAAGGAGCAGCAGAGACAACCTGTGATGAACTGACTGCAGTCCTTATTTCCCATCTCCCTGCACCACTGTGGGGCAAGCAGGTAGAGAATTCAGGAGTAAAGTTAAGCCTGGGTTGGGAGGAAGGTGGTTTTAAAATTTTGTTTTATTTCTCATTATTCACTCTGATTTGATTGGTAATAAATTATTTTTCCCCAAGTCAAGACTGTTTTCCCTGTCACGGTAATTGCTGAATGATGTCTCTTTCTCCTTGTCTAGACCCATGAGCCTTCTGTAATATTTCTCCTCCCCTGTCCGGCTGAGGAGGGGAGTGACAGAGCGGCTTTGGTGGGCACCTGATGTCCAGCCAGGGTCAGCCCACCACAAGAGTATCACTGTATTTACATTTAGGCATTGGTAGCTGGTGACAGAGACTAGGAAATAGCAATTTGCTATCTAATATAACTTTTATTTTTGAGACCCCTGGTGGCCTAGTGGTTAGCGTGCAGGACTTTCACTGCTGTGACCACGGGTTCAAATCCCGGTCTCCTGGCCTGATGGAGGTCGTTAGCCCTGTGTGGCCATCCATCTATGAGAAGGACACTCTAAACAAACCTACGTCCTGAGGACCTCACTGCCATTGTCCAAGCTTGCTTGGCCCCGGCAGATGAACCTTAGGATTAAAGGGTGGGCTCAGTTCAGCGCAGGCTGTGTCTCACCTAAAAAATCCATTGCGCAGGCTGGAAAGGTAAAAGACCTTTCCCAAAATCTTCGTTCGCGAAGATGGGCCATTATTATTAACTTTTATTCAAACTATTTATAGCAATAACATTTATTTCTTACTATTATTCTGAAGTGAAAATGCTCCATTTCAGATTTGACTGTTGTGTATTTACTGCAGAAGAAATAAGTAATTCAGTTGGTATTTCTAAAAATATAATTAGTTGATGAGTCAGAGAAGAATTTCATTTTCATAAATGTTAAGGCTGGAAGACTGGGTTTATCATGATCAGCGTGTCTGACCTGTGACTGCGTCATGTCTTAGGAGTCTGCCTGGTAATTCTTGCGTCAGTTTGTAATTAAGCTGGAATATTGTTCAGACAAGACTGAATAAAGGGCCCAAACCACATTCTTTCAATGTGCTGAATGTTATTTCACACAAACAAACAAAAGGTACACCCCACAGACAAACCTGAATATGGTGATTCATCATTTTAATTAAAAAATTGAGGACCATTAACATTTACTAATATGCTAATCTCTGATAACTCAGTGCAAATTTTTAGAACATCATACACAACCATGAACCAATAAGTGTGTGTATATGTATATATATATATATATCTGTCTATATAATGCAATTAAACATATTTCTATTTATGGGAATTTAAGCCTTACCAAGAACCTGTATTAGCCATGTGAGATTAGTAAATAGAAAAGAAAGCAGCTGGGATAAAATGAAAAGGCATAAACTCATCAAAATCTAGAATGTAATAAAAACCATGAAAGAGGAAACTGAAAACCAAAAATGAACACTATGTAGAGCAAAAGATAATATTTTATTGACTGGAAAACAGATTGCTATGTACTTGTTGGTCAGTCATTATCTGAACTGATTTTATGCCACTGCAGTTCAGCCTTGGCTTAGCTATGCACACATATCCCTTTTTTTTACCTTTTTTTTCACTTTTCTACCTAAAGTAACAGCTGTCTTCACTGTGAATAAAGGCCACTCAAGTCAGCCAAAAAATTCTATGCACTTAAGGTCAGAGCCTAAAGAAGAGTGACTTAAAAACATGCTAGATGAGGACTCAAACAGTGCTGCACAGTGCAGAATCTACCATTCTTAACATCACTGCTCCATTCACAACGGCCCAGTACATGAGTGCTGAAGCTTAGCAAGCAGATAGAACCTTCTTGAAGCCAGCTACCTAGAAACCAGGACCTTGCACTGCAAGCAAGAACTGCCTAGCTTGCAATGACAACATTACTAATTCTTGACATACTATTGGCAAGTACATGTGGCACATGGTAACGTGAATTGAGTATTGGTTCTGGAGAGCTTATAACCTGTTGTCCACAAGCAGGCATTTACAAGAAAAAAGATGGACTGTGAATCAAAGACCTAGCAGGATTGAAATGGTAAGGCCATTAACAGGGCTTTGATTGCTGTCAAAGAAGCTTTGAAGGGACAAGGTTAAAGGGACAAATGTGAGTGTCCTCTTGTGTCTGCTAATTAAAATATATACTTTATGCATGTATTTGAAGGTCTAGTGAAGACAATGGAGAAAGAGTCTTAAGGTATATTAGCTATGGGAAAATGTACATTAGCACTATTCAGTCTTGGGCAATCCTCACCTCTTTCAGTAGCTCAAAATACGAGTTTATTTATGTTCTAGAGCAACTCTGTCTGAAAAATTAAGCACAGTTACCCAATTTTGGGAAAGGATTTGTGTTGTACTGTTTTGGATGCCTGAAGACTATGTTTTTGAGGAGCAATTGCAATCCCAGTAAGGGGAGGAAAGTGACCTTTTTTCCCCTTTATCTAGCCCCGGAAGGGGCATCTCTGACTCAGTGGCCCGCTGTGTGGAAGCACCTCCTCCTCACAGTTTCTGCCTGCTTTGTCAACATCTTTTTGGCCTAAAGTGTGGATGAATAAATTATTTATGAGTTGTTCTCATCAATTTTATGATCCAATAGAAAAATGTGCATGCCTAGCTCTCCATGCCCAGGTCTGCATCTGTAAAACAATGTTAATGCCTCATCAATATTCATATACCATACAGACTTTTCAGAATCCTCCTTGGTTGCATGGGAGATGAAAAGTAAATTTTTAAGCTTCTAACAGCAGAGTGCAGTGTGTTACAAGGAAAACATACTGTAGTTAGATTCAAAATATATATGAATCTTTTCTGCATCATTTTCTTAACCAGTATGGGGCTGTTTAAATTTTTTTATAAGCAATTATAGATATGATAGAACTAAACCGCTGAGGAAAAGTTACTTGAGTGACTAAATAACTGTTATAACTTTTATATGGTTTTCTTACAGCAGAGTAATGAACTGTGTTGTTACAGAGTGAGAATAATGCAGCTGTACAACTTTCCACAGAACTACGAAGCAGAGGCACATTCACAGCAAAGGATGTCATCCTGTCGAGTGAGGAATTCCCTGTTCACCAGTGAGACAGAGCATTTTGCACAGTTAAAGCATTCCCCATGCCACTGTCGCTCTTCAAATGAGATGTATTTGGCACTTCCAAGAGCTGAAATAGATTATGAAAAAGATGTGAATCCAGTATTTCGGAAGATGGTTCAGAAATGTAACAGATTGTTTTCTGATGTGTGATCAGATTGTTATGCATACAGTGAACAAACAAATGAACAAAAATCCGTAGTCTGAAATATTCTTTGTTGGCTGAATCAAAAAAACCTCCATAACTTGAAAATTAAATAAAGTGAGAAGTATTGTAAGTAAAGCCACAAGTCACTCGCTTGCTTGCATATCCCAGTATGAGCTCTGAACACAATGGTTTTATCAGAATGTCCTCTCAGATTTGCTGATCTTCCCAACAAACTCTCATGAAAATTATTTGCAATATGCTTATACATATAGTTTCTATACAACATTTAATGAAATTTAATAATTTCCACCTAAGTTTCTTCAAGATAGAGTCTTTTGGAAATTACCAGATTATGGAATTCCTAACAAAAGTATCTGAAATGAAATCTTGAGGTTTGTGGGGATTTGAATGTTTTTGATTTGTTTGTTGTTGTTGTTTTGTTTTCATTTGGATTTTTTTGGTAAAATCATGCACATTTGATTGGGTATTCATCATATGAATATGCAGCATGCACCTGAAAGAATCAGGCAGTATTTTTTCAACAGTTTAGTCTACACAGAATAGAATTACAACATAGAACATCAGCAAATGCTCTCAGAAAACTTCAGCTCTCATAGACTAGTGACATATATGTCTAATTATAAATCATCTAAGTACAAAAGGATGCATGCAATACAGCTTTGTTGCATTTGGCAAGCTTTCTAATTTGACAAGTGTGCCTTACCAGCAGGCAATTAATCTGTGTTCAGTTTGATCACACTTGCATTTAAAAACAAATCTGAAGAAATTACAGACATGAGGGACTTGTGCGTACTGTCCTGGGAAGAGCAAAAAAAACCACCTTTTCTTATATTCTTAAGGAGGAATTTTAGTACAGAATCAAATCAAATGATGGAGGAACTCCTTTCGTCACATAAAATGACTACTCGGCAGTTAGGGAACACGTATAATCAGCATGTCCTAGCAAGATACATTACATGTGATATCGAGTGTGTCTCTCTAGTAGTGAACTCCTTCAGTCTTTCATTGTGATGAGACTATTTTTTAATGTTGTTTTCTAAAATAAAGCTTTTGGAAGAGACTGATGATTCATCACTGTCCAGTCCGCTTTAGAAGATGAGACTCACCTGTAATAGGTTTCTTGCAAGCAGCACACTTCTTAGCATACAATTTGCTGAAACAGTCCACACAGTATGGGTACTCATCTTTGGAAATAAACCTTTGTCCATACAGCTGGGTTTTACACCCAGCACAAACAAAACATTCTTCATGCCAAGGCTGGTCATGGTAGGTCACGCCTCCAGAAGTTATTACCTAATGTATAGACAAAGCAGGATAGAGCGATGAAACAAAGGTGTGAATCAGGAAGGATTGTCCAATCCTACATAAGTAATTCCACTTGTTTTCTCTCTTCCCGTATGCACAAGAGGTGAGACTGTGGTCACATCAACTGTTTTTCATCTGGATTTTCAATTTGACTAACTGCAGTTGAGCTCAATGTGCTAGTGGTTTGTTTTTCAATTTTTTATCACAATATAGCCTCCAAATGTGTAATAATCAGGTTATCTTCTAATGAAATTTTTCTGTTTTATTGTAGATAAAGGTTTAAAATCAGGGATGCTCTCAGAAGAAAAATTCTCAGTGATGGACAGTGGGTGAGAGAACTGATGCTGAGATAATGGTTAATCTCCAACTGGAACTGGTATTTTGCTGTCTCACAATTGAAACACTATTTTAAATAGGAAGAAAGACAGTAAAGAAGTCTAAGCGAAACAGACATTTACACTGTCAGAAGAAGAAAAAATGGTGTTTAACAGTGTCATCAATTTTTCATTCCCAGCAACTCACTCACAGCTCTGCACTGATTATTTCTGAAGAGTGAAATTTCCAGTTTTTTATTGCTCCCATATGTGTGGTAAAGAGCTGGTTTCACAGAAGTTGTGAGAGACTGTACAGAAAAATTTCTATAAAGATGAGTTGTAAGGTAGTGTTTCTACTGTCAAATCACATGCATGACAGTGAATGAATGAATGAATGAATGAATACAGTTGGAACAGGAGGAGAAAAAGTTGGAGAAATTTAAGTAGAAATAGCGCTAGTTGGAGAAATTTAAGTAGAAATAGCGCTATCACCAAATTTCCCTGGGGAATACAGTTTCAGGGAAATAAAGAATAATACTGCATCATGTCAAGCAATAAAAAGACTTAAATAGTTCCTGATCCCTTTAACATTCCAGTTTTGGGCTATTCCAAATTCACGTTTGCTTTTCCATTAAAATCCAAAAATCACTGGCACAAAATTCAAGGTTTCAGTTTGGCAATTTAATCACTTTGGGCTCAATTCTCATTTATGGGAACTGATGCAAGTTTAAGAAGTACAATTGTTTCAGCTATTATGCAGGGGGACACTTTGCATTCCTAGAATTTTTAAGAAGCAAATCCTTATTATTTCACTTTGGTGCTGCTAACCTCAATGCGTCTAATAAACATCAAGCATAATTACTACAATTGCCACATGACCATATAATACAAATTAAAGGCTAGATGTAGAAACATGAAAATATATAAAAGTACTTTCTAAAGTTTAATTACTGAAGAAAAAAACAAGTTTACAGGTAAACATTAAATAACAACATAAATTATAAGTTATTTGATGAAGTGAAAAAAAAAATTTTGTTTGCTTCCAGAGTGATAGAGGTACTAAAGAATAAGTTAAATTCTGCCATAAAAACCAGCTTAAAACAGTTCCCTAGAAAACAGTATCACATTAGAATAGTATGATGAATAGTATGATACTTTGAGTTTTTTTCATCAAGTAGAGACAATTTTAAAACGTGAGAAATCAAGGGAGGGAAGAACTGATTTATTTGTACTTGGGGAAAAAAGAAAAACTCATTTGAAATCAAGCTTTCTGGTAGCCACAGGGAAAGTATCATGTATTGAAGCAGTGGAACTCTTGACTAGTGTTAGCACAATTGAATGTTACTTGAGCTGATAATTGCCTGATACATTTCAAGGAAAAAAAAGACAAGACTGTGGATGCTTTGCTCAGCTTAGGTGACTTATACATGTGAATATATGCATAAAAATGATGGAAAGAGAGGCAAGTTTGCCAAGGCAAAATCAGACATTATCAGGAAAGAAGGCTTTTACATAACTTTCTGTTTAACCTTTGCTAAAAATCACAATCAGTAAAAAAAAAAGAAGCCCAAAGCATTTGTTTCAGTCAATAAGTATACTTCAAAGATAATCAGTCTTAGATTAATATCAACCAGAGTGGACAGCCAACACTGTTGCAGTTGGCTTTCAGTGCCCAATGTCAAAAGGAAGACTCTGCTCTTATTCTTAGTTCACCAGACATTTTGTATGACCCATCCCTTTCCCCCATGTCTCACTAGGACAGTTTTTATATTACATGTTTAATTACCTTTTTGCAAGAGTAACAATGGTGGGCAAATTGCTTCTCAAAGCAGGGCACGCAGTAATTCTCATTATCTTTGGTGATTAATGGTTTTGTTCCCAATGGTTGCTGACAATATTGGCAAACGAAACAGGATTCATGCCAGGAACTCCCCTTAAATTCCATTTTACGAGAACCTGAAAAAACCCAAAGTGAACAATCCCCCCGATACAGCCTTGTAGTATAAGTCTTAAATGTTGAGAATACTCGTTTTCAACCTTCAATCTTAGTAGCAGGTTATCTAAGAAAGCACTTATCTTAAATTTAATAGAACTTCTAAGAATGTACTTGAAATTTCAAGAACATATTCAGATCCATACAATCACCTGGCAAAAGATGTGCTAAAATGCCTAAGCTGTGATTTTGAGTCTGTCTTTATATGAATCTTTTGGGGTTTTTTCTTTGTGATTATGCTTCAGTTACTCAGATTTTCTCTCAAGCCAGCCAACTCAGTGATAATGTTCAGATTCACAGCACTTCTGTAAATTAGAGATTAATTTCTTGGATGCTTACTACATCTATTATTGTCTTGCCTTTTGTCTTCCTTAACTAAGGCTCCTTCAATTATAAATGCATTATTTATCTTAATCATCTTAAACTGGCAAGTTTTTAAAAGTAAATATTTTTTCTGTGATGCAGTGCATTACACTGCCTCTTCTTATAACTCATAATTTCATCCTAGATCAACAGTTTTTTAATCATGTTTAACCAGATGCTTTGGATATAGCTCAAGGACAGAAAGTAGTTCAGTTAAATGCCTGTCAGAGGAGTTTCAGAGATTTTATCTCTGTGTACAGGTGTCCTGCACACCTTGAGGTAGAAGCATAAGTCTAAGATATGCACAGACAACTGAGAACAAATTTTCCAATGAATCTCCATCATAACTTCCTTCCCTGTAGGTAGCATCAGACTGCTAAGAGAGGTGCAAGGTAATTTACCATCTTTTCCACGTGAAGAAGAGAATTGCCAGTATAATGGATTAATCCCACATAACCTGTTTCCTGTACTATGGGGCTAGTGGAGAAACTACTGGTTGTATTCAAACAGAAAAGGTTTGCAGCTTCATCCCAGTAATCCCAGTGATCAGAAGGCTAACTTCACTATCTTTGCCTACTAGGTCTTTTCAACACAGAGCTAGCGAGCTGATGAGAAGGAAGTTAATGATACAGAGACAGGCTGGTGTTCCCATGCCCCTTCAGTTCTCTGTTTGCACTGTTACCTTCAGGCACTTACTGCAAGGATTTATACTCCTAGACTCTGGGGCAATATCTGAGACATGAATATACACCAGAAGACAATAATGCAAACCTGAGTAAATTCTGGTACTATTCTCATCACATCTAGTAAGGTGTGCCTATTTGACAACATTTTTGTGAACTATATACAATTTATACAGTATATAGTCTTTAAACTGCGCGCTCCGCGCGCGCGGGTCAGTCCCCAGGGCACGGCTGCAGCAGGCGGCAGGGGCAGCGGGGGCAGCAGGGAGTGGTGGAGGGAGGGGGAACCTTGCCGTCGGGTGCTGGACCCAGTGGAGGTGGAGAGGGCAGCCTCGGAACACACAGGTTTGCCGTTCCAGGTTTTGGGGGGGAGCGGGGGGGAGGGGGAGGG